CCGGCGTGCTCCAGCCCCAAAAGACCCCTGGTTCTCCATCATAAACTGTAGATAGGGAAACCAGATGCATGAGAATCTGGAGTTTGTTGTGCAAAAATTTGCCTGAGATGTGTCCATCAGCTATTTTGTCCATAATTAAATGTTCCCACACTTTATTTCTCCAATCCTCCATCATTGGAGGTTTAGTTGACTTCCAGGCGGCTGTGATGGTAAGTGAAGCTGCAGTGAGTAGGTACGATTTTAAATGTTGGAGAGAATCTTCACATTTCAATGGGTCTCTGAGGTGTAGAAGTATGTTTTCTGGTGTCATCTGTATAGTTTATGATGTTATCCTGGTTATTTCAGTGACAACAGTTTCCCAGAACTGTCGTATGTGAGGACTGGTGGACCAGATTAATTACCATTGATGTTCTGTTAGTTGCATGTCAAGATCTTCTTGCCACACGCTTGGTATTTCAGTTTTGATGTGCTATAAAAGACTATGAGGGCTTTGTATATTTTTGCGAGCAGATGTTTTGAATGTTCTGAGTAAGTTTCTATGAGTATTTTGAAATGTGACTTGGTTCTTTTGAAGGTGCCCGAGTTTGATAGATGGTCTATACTTCCCAGTTGGTAATAGTGAAGTCACGAGATCGGTTTGGCAATCTTATCCTCAAAATTTGTTTTCTGCAATATTTTTCCTTGTAGTACAAGATCTTGTAAGCAGGTAATGCCTGCGAAAGTATTTAATTAAGGACATATATGCTCTAGGAACTTTATCCAGATTAAATAATAGCAGCGCACTCTACATGGACTACTTTTGAAGACCTTCCAGAAACTTCATTTTGTCTAAAATGTAGCTGTCAGGTCATTAGCATAATGACAAGCCAGAAGAACAACAAGCCCTGGGTGCTGGTAGGCAGCACCACCCATCAACAATGTGGCCCTAGTTAGGGAATTTGGAATATATATGTAAACCGCTCAGAGACCTGCCAAAAGGTTAGAGCGGTATATAAATTGAATGTATAAATAAATAAATAAATTATAAGTGGAACTTGAAGAATGGAGCATATACTATATCAAATTCACTGACTACCAGTTGACTTCTGGGTCCAATGGAAAGTATTATTATTCACAACGACAGCCCTGAATGGTTTGGGACAAACTATCTGGAGGGCCACTTCTTCTCATATGTACTGACACAACAGACTTCACTGTGGTTTCGAATCCCAGTTTGCAGATAAGGAAGATACCACACTTAGTTAAAATGTCTCCAATTCAGCTATTGCAGCAAATTTAGTCAGAGTGGAGGGTTCCTAAAACTCCATCTTTACTCCATAATCTTGAAGAGAGGGAAATGAGCACATGAGTCGATGAATAAGACAAATTTGTTCTTGTCACAAAAAAACCAGAATGAATTTGTGATTTCTGAATACATTTCATTGATGGATTGCATACAATTCAACGAAGAATCAGGTAACTTGGATGAAGGCTGAAGAAGGCTTCAGACTTTGCTCAGAGGAGTGGTAGGATACATGCCAAGAGCTTGTACAATCACTAGTTCTGACTTATTCCTACTTCTTATTCCTCTTTATTTCCAGTTCTGGTGCTTTCTAAACTGAACTGCACACTTTGCCTGTTTTTGGAGACTGACTCTGAATTACATGCTGATAATTCCTTGAATTTAAGCATTTCCATATCAAAATTAATGGTTCTGGCTTAACGACTGTCATTCCTACTGACTTCCAAACATAGAATCCTCAACAGGCTTACCTGGTGTCTTCATATTTGCTACCTGAATGTTTTGCTTTGTTTAACACACCTACCTGTGTTTCCTCAACAGGTCTATTTGCTGCAGGGTATTCCCAAACTCCTTGAAGTTCTGAAAGTGCAAAATGAGGAAATTCAAAGGGCAGCCTGTGGTGCTTTGAGGAACCTGGTATATGAAGACAATGACAACAAATTGGAAGTGGCTGAGCAGAAAGGGATCTCGATCCTACTGAGATTATTACAGCAAACAAGAGATGTGGAGACAAAAAAGCAAATTACAGGTACTTAAAACTGGTGCATTTCTTCAGAGATTTTTTTTAATAATGTTTCACATGGTGCTGTGCTTATTTAGGCCATTCTCCAATATTTTTGCTTTTTTAAGAGAGCATCCTTCTATACCATGTACAGCACGTGTTGTCTCTTTCCTTAGAACAGCTCCAAAACCATTCAGTGAACTTGTACTCAACAGATGTCATAAGAACATAAGAACATAAGAGATGCCAATGTTGGATCAGGCCAAAGGCCCATCCAGTCCAACACTCTGTATCACACAGTGGCCAGAAATACCAGTGCCATCAGGAGGTCCACCAGTGGGGCCAGGACATTAGAAGCCATCCCACTGTTGACCCCACCAAGCACCATGTCATTTGAAAGCCCATACTTCAACCACCACCAACAAGGAAAACCACTGTAATAAGACACTAAATAAATCTAATAATTACATAAATTTGTCTGTGAATTTTATATACCTTAGTAGTGAATGATTTCCAATTATGAACTATAAAAAGCTTATAATTCCTCTGAGGTCTGTGTACTCAATAGCAGGTGAAATATAGGCTATACCAGCACTAGAAAGTTTTGATTAATTTCTAGTTTAATTTTCAGTTTGAATGGTGCCCCTCAGACAAGATTTCAATAATAGATAAAGAACTACTCTTGGAATGACTCGTCACCTTTACTGGTATTTACATAAACTTTGGAGAGAACATCATGTAAATAGTTGTAACATTGATACTGGTCTCACTGAAGAAGTTTAGCGAAACAAGGGAGTCTATACTGGGGGTCCTTGTGTGATGATTCTTCCTTTGTTGAATTCTTCTTGATGATTCGTTTCTTGATGTTGATGATTTTTTATGAATTTACAGAATTGTACTTGCCCACTCTGAAATTGAGTATACAGACCTCAGAGGAATTATATGCTTTTTGTACTTTATAATTGTAAATCATTCACTATTAAGGTATATAAAAATCAATCACAGACAAGTTTATTTAATTATTAGATTTATTTAGCGCCTTATTACCATGGTTTTTCTTGCTGTTGCTGGCTTATATGTACACTGTAATCCTTCCTATGCTTCAACCACACCTGCTTGAAAAGAACTTCCATGTAAAACTATCATTCCCAAGATAAGGTGTTTAAAATTAGGCTGGTGATGGAACGAAAACCGCTCACAAACTTTAGAATGCCAATATCTGCTGTTCTCCTTAGCATTCACCTACTTAGCCCAATAAAATTTGTGGCAGGGTATGAGCTTTCATGAGTGAAAGTGAGTCACAGTCAGATCTGAAGAAGTGAGCAGTGACTCACGGAAGCTCATCCCCGACACAAATTTTGCTAGTCTTTAAGGTGCTACTGGACTCTTGCCCTTTTCTACTGCTACAGACAGACATGGCTACCCATCTTGATCTACTTAGCCCAAGACAGACTTGCCCTTTATGACATCAAAGCAGTTAAGCCAATGGAAGGCAGTACGCCTGTCAAGACGTACTGTGATATCATAACCAGTCAGCCATTCTGTGGACTGTGATCATACAAGTCCTTCTGGTTTCTGCTTTGACATATTTTTGTCTGGTTCAAATCTGGTTCAGTTTCTTCTCTGGCAGCGGCCAAAACACCAGTGATGACTGTACTTAAATGTTCTAATTAAGTGACATTATTGGTTCTTTGCACAGGTGGCAGTGTCATCACAAACTTAAATTCAGAAAGGAGTTCAGGAAGATTTTCTGGGTTTGGAAATGTCTGCAAACTTGACAGAGAATGTGGGACTTCTATTGGCAGGTTTAGGGGACGGAGCTACCATTAGAGAGCTGTTGCTTAACATGGTTAAAAAGTTGCCATGTTGTTCCTTTCCTCTCCTCCACTAGTCTGCAAATTTCCTATCTGTGTTTCTTTTCTAGCACAAGGTAGAGAGAGAGAATACAACCTTGTGTAGGTCAGAGTTATCTGAAGAATGGTTTGTATTCCTGAAGAACATTGAAGGGTGGGCATTGCCTGAGAAATAGTTCCAAGGTGGCCAAATTAATAATTCATTTTTAATAAAAAATCAAATAGAGGAATATTTCTCATTAAACTTCCATAAAGTAGATATATTTCTCATTAAATTTCCATGAAGTAGATCAACGGGTGTGTTGAGAAGCGAGGGTAAAGTGGAGGCAAATAGATCGAGGTCATAATTCAAACTAGTTTCAAGATGGAGGGCCAATTTATATAGAAGAAGAAGAAGAGTTGGATTTATACCCCGCCCTTCACTCAGAGTCTCAGAGCAGCTTACAATCTCCTCCCCTTCCTCTCCCCACAACAGACACCCAGTGAGGTAGGTAGGGCTGAGAGAGCTCTGAGAGAACTACTCTCTGAGAGAACTGTGACTGACCCAAGGTCACCCAGCAGGCTGCATGTGGAGGAGTGGGGAATGAAACCTGGTTCTCCAGATTAGAGTCCACTGCTCTTAACCACTACACCAAACTGACCCTCAGAAAAAAAAGTGTCAGAGCTATTCCTGTACTGCACCACTTCAGTCTTCAGGCATGTGGGGAGTGGGGAGGTTGTTCTTCCTGAAAGGGAAGAAATAGGAAATTTGCATGCCAGGGAGAATGATAGCCTGCTACCCAATGTGATGCCTTTTTCTATGCAAACAATGTTTTATGGGTGAACATTCAATACATAGCCACCGCCTTCAACCTGAAATGGTACAATCCAGGAAGAGACCTGCCATTCAGTCCTGCTTATTGTATAGAAAAAAGGAGTGTTCTTCCTTCTTCCTTGGTGGTTAGAAGCGCGGACTCTAATCTGGGAGAACCGGGTTTGATTCACTACGCCTCCACATGCAGCTACTGGTGTGATCTTGGGTCAGTTACAAATGCTTGCAGAGCTGTTCTCTCACCAACAGTTCTCGAAAGAGCTGTCTCAGCCCCATCTACCTCACAGGGTGTCTATTGTGGGGAGGGGAATTGAATTGGAGATTGTAAGAAGAAGAAGAGATTGGATTTATACCCCACCCTTCACTACCCAAAAGAGTCTCAGACTAGCTTACAATCCCTTTCCCTCCTCCTCCCCACAAGCCACTCTGAGGGTGTGGTCACACGGCAAGTTTGCCACGGTTTGTTCCCGCTGTATATTTGATCAGGGTTATTAGCGGTGTCGGGAAAAGTGCAACCAAACGGGGTTGATTGCGGGACTGAGCAGGATGCAAGATGGGAGGCAGATGTGCCCGTCTGATCAGCACTTTCAAATCTGAGAGGGAAGAGCAGCGAAGCCCGCTACAAATGACTGTGTGAACACAGCCTATGACTCCTTTGGGTAGTGAAGGGTGGGATATAAATCCAATCTCCTCCTCCTCCTCTTCGTCTTCTTCCTTTTTTTCTCCCACTGAAAAGGGAAGGGAGGGGATCCCCTTTGACTACCCAAAGGTCAATGGAACCTGAATGGCCAGAAGACATGTGGGACGGAGGCTGTAGTATAGCGTTAAATTGGGTGACAGAGTGAAAAAGCTGGCTGGACCCAACCCAATTATTATATATGTTTCTGTAAGTGGTTCTTTCTAAGTTAGGATAGGGTTGCAAAATTCTGCATGTAGTACAAACTTTGCCTTTTCTGCACAACCTTGCATGAGAGCTACCAGGTTCTTGAGAAGTTTCTTATGAATCACAACCGATGGCGTCATTGCATAAGCAGCAACCCATAATTTCAAAACCATATAGTGTAGAAAATGCAGTGAACTATCCTATGAGTATGTAATGTGATGGCATCATGATGCAGTGACAACAAGCCGGAATCTCCCACTCCCCAGAATGATGACAGCCCCACTCCAACCTAATCACTGTAAATTAGGCAGCTGGGGGGAAAATACCTCTATCAGAGGTTGATAACATTACCGTCTGGTAACACCTCAACAGATAGTGGAGCAAACATGTCACCGTTCAGGAATGCTGGGGGCCGGTAGAACCAGATATAACTCCTCTGAGAACCCTCTATCTGGCATTCTTGGTACTTGGGTTTTTCTTTAATGATGTCAAAATTAAAGTGGGAGGGAGGGAGGGCTTCTCTTTAGTACTCAGTAGGCAGCTCGACATTCTAGAAGCTTGTGTTTTAAAAAATAGAATGAAAACCTTACAGGACAGGCTGTCTGCATAAGTTTGCTTTTCCTGACAGAAATAGGTCTGGGTCAGATTTCTGTTGCAGTCCTGTGTTCCGTTCTGGCCACCCAGGGTTTTGAAGTGCTGAGGTTTGTTTCCCTTATCAAGATGCCAAGGATGCTTTATCCCCGTCTGTTTTTCATCACCAGCCTGGGAACCCCACTCAGCAGAGACAATCAATCTGTCTCATGTTTACTGTTGTGATCACTTACCCTAACGTGCCAGCACAGGACCTGGGATCTTATCACAGACTCTTTACAGCCTCACAACTTGCTTCATCCCCTGATTTGCCCGCTGAACATGGACAAATGGAAATCCTGTTCCTCTGCGTGTAGAGCAGCCTTCCTTCAGTTTGCAGACCCCCTTAAATGTGCAAACAGGAATGGTTGTGCAAGGGAAGCCATAGGATTACCACATTGCCAGATGGGGGCCTTCAAATGTCTCACGGAATTAGGAGGCAAAGCACATCTGGAAAACTGTTGGTTGTACCAGATGAAGGAGGAAGCAGGGCATGGGTTAGAAGATCAGACCTGGAGAAAATGTCCTGTCCCTTTAATAAAGAGGCTTAGTGTGTGGAAATGGGCTGCTGAAGCCTCTCATGGCATGAAAGTAAGTAACATCACCTGGTAAAGGACATCCCATGAAGCAGCTATTAAAGCAGCAGGATGCTTTTACTCCAGGCAGTTGCCAACCCTGCAGGATGTTGTGGGTGCCTTACCACCTGCTTCACATGTGCAAACCAAAGGTCCGCATCCAGTACTTGTGTTGCAGGATGTCTGTTCTAGTGACTAATTGTATGAAGAGATAATAAAGAATTATGGATGGGATTGTAGCTCAATCCCTGGCATCTCCAGTGGAAAGGAACTGA